ATTATCCATTTTCTTCTCATTATTAGCCAAAAATTGAAGACTAAGTGAATTCAAATAAAAATTATTGCTTTATCCACAAGATAAGCAAAATTAAAAAATCATATTTAAATCTAATTTAAATCTTATATAATGAAGGTTTCTTTTTTTTTTTTTTTTTTTGGGTTTAATTTTTAATTTTTATATGTCTTTTTACTTCTTAAAAACATAAAATGTTAATTAAAATATATATTAAATATATTTTTAAGATATTAAAAGATCAAAAAAAATCTATGGTTATAATTACAGTCACAGCCCAACCACCCCAAACCAAGCAAAAAAAAAAAAACTCTTTTAGATTAGGTCATCTATTCAAAATTCAAGCTTCTATCAACTTAGTATTAAAATTTTGATTTAAATTCACAATTAATGTCATTATATTATTCTTCTAAATTTCAAATTAATAGATCAATTAGTAGATCAATAAAATTTATTCGGAATAATGGATCCTATCATTAATTTATCCAAAAAAAAAAAAGTGGAACCCTTCTCTCATTGGAAAACTCATGAGGGAGATCTATCAAAAGTTGCAAACACCTACAACCCTCGGCTCTTTTCTTCTCCAGACTCCATTCCACCTCCCTCTTACATCCCGTGATCAATCACCTACCTACAGAAATCACAACGACACAATCACTCCATCCGCTACTCATCTCCTTCACCGACCACCCTTGAATCTCCATTGATCTTTCAATTTCAAATCACAATACATTTATCATTTATTATCTAAATGGATTGGATTTGGAATAGAATCAGAGTGCAAATTTAGAACGAAATCACGCAGGTAGAGGGGCAGGGACCACTACTAGTGATATTTCAAGTTAGGTAGTTAATTAAGCAAGATGATTGAGGCCCTACAATCTTGAAGTTGTGGGTTCGGCTTCATGTATATGTGATTTTTCTTTTATTTTTTTTATTTATCTATCTATTGTGTTTAACTTACAATATTGACCATATTTTCACATATATAAAAAGTAGAAACATTTTTTTTTTCACATCAAATAATGATACGTATTGAAGAAAATAATCATCAAATCTAAAACCTTCGGTTTAAAATTCTTAACAGGCAAAAATAATGCTAGGATAAGATGATTTAATCTTTTGTGGTAATTAAATCTCCTTTTTGGTGGTGAGAAATAAGATCTAAAAATGGCCCCAGGATTTAAATTTCTTTACGGGGAAAAAGACGGATGGTGCCCTGTAATTGAGTGCAAGTCCGCTCTACTTGGCATAATGAGAAGTCATCAAAAGAAGATTCATTGGCTCTGTAGTCCATTCCATCTCATCAAATACATAAATCAATCTCTTTGGGAACTCGGGACTCTCCACTGAACATTTCATTAAGATGTAATACACATTTTTATTATAAATTTAAATTAAAAACTAAAAATTAATTTTTAATTTATTAATTATTTAATTAAATTTATTTACTTAGCACTAAAATTAAAATAATATTAATTTTACATTTTTTATATATATTTGTAAAGATGTCTTTAATGTATACTATAAAGACACATATTAAAAAAACCTTTAATTAATATTATTGAATGTTGAAGTTTCATGTGCTCTTTGGCAAAGGAAATATTGCATGGTTGGCATCACCAAAATATAAGATTCAGGATGGAATACGTGGAATAGTTTTTTCCAAAATATATGGGAAATTTGAGTTAATTCTTGACCTTTATCTGATTACAATTATGGGAGTTCTTTTATATAACATGTGTAATCGAATTTTTAATTCAATTAATTTTATGAAAAAAATATAATTATAATATTACATAATATTATAAATTTATAATAATATATATGATGTGTCAATATTTAATTAATTTTTTTTATTTAAAGATCCACTTGTTATAAATGCTTATAAATTGCTGTGTTCAAAAATATCGGCCTCCACCGAAGAGTGCCTAGTATGATCTTAACACTATTACAAATTTATAGTGTTTATTGTACGTGGTTATCACACCTACACCAAATCAGACTTTTTAATTACATTGTGGACTTTGGAGAAATTAATCTACTACAATTAGCCTTCTTTGTCATAGGGGACCCTTATTGCTTTTGCCTTTTGCAATATATTTATATCTTGACGTTTTAATAATCCCCCATACCCATGGCCGCATTTTACTACCAATACTATTCAACTTGGACATGCGTGGCCAGTCCATGATTCGTGGGATCGATCCATTTGTTGAAACTTTGAAATTTCGAGATAATGTAAAAAGATCGAAATGAGGATACTAGCTAGGGCTAGAAACATCTTCACAGCTATTGCCTTTTTCCCACACGTTTTATGGGACCCCGGATAAAAATTTGAGGTTCCATTTAATTATCTTTCGAAACTCAAAGATTATGAAGCTAAATCTGCTTAGAACTTATTACACTTATAAGTAAAGTTGTTAATTAGTTTTGCTTCTTATAAATTAAGAGCTTGTTCGCCTCAAAATTAACTATATCATTCTATTATTTAGTCTTTTCTAAAATTACCTAATTTTAATAAGCATCCTTCAAACTTATTTTAAAATTTATAACTTATATGAAAGATTAAAAAGAATTTATTAAAATGATATTATTTGGCCAGATGAAAGACTTATAATTCCTGAAGTTTTATTGGGTTTACTTGTATTCCTAAAATGGAGTATGAGAATGTTTTGTCAAAATAGTTCAAGTTTAGTCTTAATTTTTATTTTTTTATTCTTTATTATATAAAGTTATTAGGTCAATTTTATTTATTACACTTTTTACTTAATATAATTATAAAAAAATTACAAAAATTCATAAAAATGTAATTACTACTATTGAGGAGCACTTTGTTCTAATTTATCTTTGGTGATATCTAAGGCAGGAAAAAAAAATTGGAAGTGAGACTATGGGGACAAGGTCGACGAAGGCAGGACAAATGAAAGGTGACTAAAGGCTAGCGACCAATCTCAATCAGTGGCCTGAAAACTGACAAAATTACGGTTTAATAGGGTTGGAATGAGAAAGAGGAGGGAATTTTCTTCATCTTTTGAAAATGGTTAAAACCCCTTTTGGTCCCTGAACTATTGTACGGACCCCCGATTTGATCCCTGAACTAAAAAAATTCCTGATTTGGTCCCTACTGTTTACCATTTTTATCCCGATTTGATCCGTCCGTTAAAAATCTAGTGATGTGTGCTGTTAACTAACGGGAACACGATGACATGTCATCTAATAATCCACGTGGAAGATAATATAGTCAAAAAGTGATGATGTGGAAAAAATAATAATATAAAAAAATATTAT